AATTAGTCCCAGGCTCCAGTAAAACGCAAAAATCGAATTATTTCCGGTCAAAAAATGTCTCAAATTGCACATTCTTTTGCTAATAATAGCTTTCCGTGTCTGATGAAAAACTGATGATGGTGGAAAAATACACCGAAACGTATTTTAATTGATAAATAAAGACAATAAATGACTGAAACCCAGGATTAATTTTGATTTGTAATTGAAACACAGTCAGGAAAGTATATACAATTGACGATAATCTTTGGGAGGAAGCAAGAGATTGTCCGTGTAGAAATAATGGCACTTTCGTCCCTGGACAGGAGAGGTCAAGGACATATTTGCTGATATTAAACAGAGAGTACCGATTTTGAAAATAATTTGCAAAACTTCTACTACTCATTGCATACCTTCAACTCCAATCAAAGAGGCAATTTTTCCCTCTTTATGCACAGTTCGAATGTCGTCCACTGCATGTGCCATTTCCAGGGTGTGTTTTTCGCGCTGCACCAGACGTTCGATAGCATCGATCTGCTCCAAAGTGATCTGGACTGCGTCCTTATGTTGCGCCCTGCATGGCACGTAAGCTGACCAGAACTGAGCGCCCACACCTCCAGCTACCAGCCTGATCCCATAGAATTAAGAAGCTGAACTGACTAAGCTACTCGCTTACCTGGACAGATCGGTGTGGGACCATTTGCTGGACGACCACGGTTCCTCTGCTCTCATTTTGCTGAGATTCAGCTGGTTCAGCTGGTTGTGCTCGAATTTTCGCAGGTTCCAAGGCAAGTCGTTATGCCCGTCGATTAGGGGAGACTCTTTCAATAATTTCTTCACCTGGAATTGAACGGGTTAAACAATGCAAAGACGATGAGGAATGAGCGAAACTTACTAAATCGAGTCGTTCCTGTGAAGAAAGGTGACCGACATCGTGAGGTCCTAAAGCTAAGGGCAGTCCTAAACCGGCAGTGAGGGTTGCAACGACAACGCAAACCACCAAGCAGACGCACCAGGGACCACGTCCATTGCTTCTGGAATGGTAGAATAGAAGATGATTCTTCACTGGGGGGAAGAAAAGAGCTGATCGGTACCTGCTGGTGTCGCTTCCAGAGCTACAAGAGCAGGAGTCGTACTCATATGGATAGTACAAGTCACGTGGCACCCCATGGTGGTAGTTGCGGATGACGTCATGATACGGATGTTCTCTGGAGATTTGAGGATGAGGCACCGCATTGAAGGAGGTTTCCCTGGAGAGGGCTGGATAAGGGGGGCATGGAGGGATCTGCTGCAAAATGCCATTAAATCCTCAATGTCTTTGCTTGGACAGGACTTTTCAACTTTGTCAGTTGGTCGAGTTTCAGTTTATTTGCTTTGCTGGGATTTTGCACGCAGGAAACTGAAATTGATGCAATTTGTGTCCATTTGATTCTACTGCACACCGAATGGTTTATTTCGCCGTTCGGTCTTGTTATATTCGCTCTAAAAAGTGTGCTCACATTTTCAGCGCTGATGGAAAAAGAGCATAATTTCATCCAAAAGGAGACACATAAAAGCCTTATTGAAAAGTAACCGCTGCTCTACCCCTAAAAACTGAGCACTTTCCACACTTTTATCTTTGCACCTGCTGGCATCCACAACAATATTGTGGATGCCATCTGGATGTAGACAACAAACGACTTATGTAAATCACCCTGCTTTAAAAGCTCTCAGTTTAGGAATTTCGATGTCATTTTTTCTGCTTGTGTTTTTAGCAGGAGACGAGGATCGTTTCAGTTTTAATATCCAAAGAACAAGCCATTGGTTTCATACGGACGCGATGTGGCCACAAAATGCCCTGCCGGCCTATTTTTATTAACTAATCAGAAATATCCCTTATAGGAGAGTTTTGTTTGCTCATTTCTGTGCATTTAAGGTCGATTTGCTGTTCACTTCGGCACATACAAGCGACATTGTTCGGTGTTCGAGTGACGTCTAAATGTGATTATTGTTCTAAGTTTCCGGGCGATTTTCCGCAAAAGCAGGTTTCCGTTTGCGCTGGGACTCGTGTATCTTGCACATATTTTCCAAGCGCAATATTAAACGGGTGAATTTGCAAAAATAAGAGGAAGAACAGAAAATAAATTAGAAACAATACATCAATACACTGTTTGTTAGGCCTGGGTGACACTGTGTTGAGCTGCGCTTTTGAGTTGTTGCCGCGTCTCTGAGTTAATGAGTTTTAACTCATGGTAGGTGACGGAATTTTGGCTTCTAACAAAAAAAAATCTATCAACATATTTGCGTATGCTTTTGTGCATACCATTGCTTTTTGGTCTAAGACTGGGAAATCCGGAAATTTTGAAGAAACTTAAAAACATTTCAGAGCGATGAGGGTGACGAATTTTCCAAATATTGGTCGTTTTTTGAGAAAACCTAAAATTTGTCGGAAAAAAACACGATAACTTTGTTTCGATTTCGTCTCAAATTGGTAAAAGGGGTATTTGAAAAAGACGATAAAGAAGACCAAACTGTAAAGACGACGACTTTTCTCGAAAATCCATCTTTTTACGTTATTGCATAAAAGGGTCTCAGTTTGCCAGTAATTTACAGTCAAACGTKAGGACAAAACGGGTTGTTCTGTTTAGAGAGAGTTTTCTTCAGAAATATTGACCTAAAAGTGAAGAGACCGGAATTTAAATAAACCAAATTATTCTSAGCGACAAAAGTGACGAGTTTTCCGAATTGATTATAAACTTTTACTTGTTCTGTTCGGGGAAATATTTTGGRRAAAAATCCAGAAAAAATGATTAGGGTTTTGTCCAAAATTCGAAGCTGCAAAAGGTTTCAGAMAAAAATTATAAAGCTGGTCAGAAGCCGAATGTTCCAATAAAATYTATTTTATAATTTTCACAGAAAATACCTGAATATTGTCAGTATTTTAWGTAAAGCTAAAAATAATACGTTTTTTGCGTAGCAAGACTTGCTTAATAGAAACGTTGCTAAAACTGAAATGCAGAAGAAGCGTTTTACTGTTTTGAATCGAAATCTAATCCATTTCCTCAGGACAAAAAAC